TACAGAGGGTATAGACTCCATATAGAGGGGGCAACCTACTTACCTACCTATATGGATCGCAGCTATATTTACATATGTCCGTCGTGGCTGTCGTTGACTTTCGGGAAATAAAACAAACTTCTCTATATCGCCTCTCTGCACCTTGCTCACAATACAAATACAAATATTTTAGCGACAAAAAACAAAAACAAAACAAGAGGAGAGTGAAAAAACAACGACCTGAAAATGAAAAGTAAAACTTACAAGCCACATATGTCTTATCAAAAGATGTGAGCAGGGAACAACAATGGGAACATTTCATTGGCTCTGAGCAAATAGAGCGGTCCACCTTAAACTTACATTTCGATTACAAACGGATGTTCAAACAACGCTCGACTTCAAAAGACCAATTGGATTTTAGCCAACCGGAAGTACAGTTAGCTGGGTTCTTCGAAAGTACATTGATGATCTATTAACACTATGAATAGCTTAGAGCGCATCATAATCACTTTCACTATCACTGTTGTATACTTTTTTACTTGATAATTACAATTAATTTATTTAACCGTATAACAAAGTATTTAAACAATCAATATTTATTATGTACTATAGCTATTTTTTGCTCTTATCATGTTTAATATTCTACCGCCTCGTCTAATTTGTTTTATGTGGCATTAACAAGGCTTTCGTTTCTTAAAATAAATTTCAAGGAAATTTATTGAGACTAAAAGTAAAGTATTTATTTAAGTTTTTCACCTGGCTTTTGGGTTTTCACATATTAATTGCCATGTATATGTATGTGCCCCTTTGGTTGAATGCTCTTCTTTTCCGTTGAACCCATGCCTTGTGCCCATTTCCTTTGGGCTTATCAGTCGCCATGTGTGTCCAGCCTTAACACACAGACAGGGGCACACGTGGACTACATGTTAATGCCCGATTCCGAGCCGCGACCATATTTGCATATGGCTCATTCACTCAACCTGGCGGGTTTCGAATCGTCCGTCTACGGGTCTGTGGTCTCTGGTCTCTGGTCTCTGGTCTCTCGAACCTGGTCTGTGGTCTCCGGTCGGGTTTCCATTTGTTTGCTCATTTGTTTGTCCAGATATCCAGTCGCTTACCTTGCCGCCATATGCGGGTGTTATCAGCAGGCCGCGCTAGCTTTTGGCTAACCGCTTCTTTTCCTCGTTTTTTTTTTTTTTGTTGTTACCCCCCACCACCCCCACAAAAACCAACCCCCAGAAAACGGGGTCTATTGGGGGGATAGAGGGGCCAGTAGGCAAATAAAACCAAATTTTTGTATGCTAAAACACTTTGCGAAGGCGACCCGTGTGATAAGGCTTCGGGGCTTCGATATTGTTGCGCCCCCGCACAACAGAAATCATTGTGAATCCAGGCGGCACTATATATACTATATATATATATATATATATATATATATATATACTATATACCACACCGCACTGTTTGTTATAGTTTCAGCTGCTAAACACCTTTCCATGTATCCGTATCGCTGTGTTATCCACACGTAATTTGTTTAAACAAATTAAGTCGGGGGCCGCTCGGCTCCAGTTGATTTTGAGTTTTTCAGCTGCTGACGTCGCTTTGTCACTGTCAGCCAAAAAAAAAAAAATAATAAAAAAACAAAAACAACAAAAAAAACCGCCTGTTGGACACAACATATATACTATATACTATAACGCCCCCGCCGACTGTTATCGCCTGCCACAAAAAGAATTTCGAATTTGTTTAACCCTTTTCTTTCGTTGTTGTTAAAACTTTTAAATGAGTTGGCCAAAAAAACAATACTACAAGTCCAACAAAACAAAAAAAGAAAAAAAAAGTGTTGTCTTTAAATATTTACTCAGCATTTTCAGGGCGTACGTTATTATTATTTCTGCGTTGTTTTTTCTTATTTTTTATTTAACCACACGTCAACAAAGTGGAGCACTTGGAGCTATTATAATTGAATACCCACTCAGTTGTCTTTAGTCTTCGATTTTTGCAGCATAAATGAAAGGATTTTTATTTATAAATTGATTGTATATATTAGAAATATATTTAAGGAAGATTACTTACTTTCTTAAACCAATAGTTTTTTATTCAATTGAGAGGTCTTAAAGAGGCCTAAGTTTCGCCAATTCTCCGCCAAAAGTTGGTCCAGTTTTTCGTGACCTGGCTTTTTCGGCTGACGCCATTTTTCATTTGGGGTCCTGCGTCCTGCGTCCTGTGTCCTTCGTCCTGCGAAAGTGAGCACCTAAAAACAGCCGACGAGGACGACCATGTGGCGCTCTCAGCCTGGTTTTTATGGCATCCCCACAGATAGAGCAACCCACCCATAACCTTTGGGCCATAAAACCGAATACTTCGAATCCTTCGACTCCTTGCCTGAGTCTGTGTGTCCATATGTGTGTGTGTGTGTTCCTGCCAGGATGGGGGCATAAATTAGCACAATCAACGTATTGTTTTCGCCTGCCACGCCCCCAACCCTGGGCAGTCAATAACACGAGAGCGTTATAAATAACAAAAATACAAGGAGCCGAACGAATTTCATATTTTCTTGTCCTGATAATTTGCGCAAAACTTCTATTAATATGTTAATTCTTAATTGTCCCACTTGGCTAACCCCCCCTCCCCCCGCCCGAAAGTATCGCAGACATATCCTAGATATATAAAGGGGAGATATTAATGGCCGGAGGCTTGCATTAAATGGCCAGGAGTGCTTTAGGCCAAAGTCGCAGCTCGTAAATATTTGGCTTAAGCTGCGCGGTTAACAAATCGACGCACTTCAATTTATTTATTTTTTCTTCGAGGGGGAAAACGGCTGAATTAATTACGCATATTTGCAAGGCAAGAGGGTAAAAGATGCCAATGACATCACACATCAGCTAATAAATTCTGATTTCCAAAGGCGGAAAAAGAAGTGTAGCACTTTATTAAGAGATTGCGAATGCATAGCAAATTATTCGTTAATTGTATGCTGGATGGTTGTGGAAAATATAAATATGTTTTGGGAGTTTAGTTCAAATCAAAGACACAGAATAAAGTTATGGCATTAAATATTAATTGAACAATGCTCTCTATATTCACTATTTGATCTGCTTTAATCGCATTCGATTTGGTCACTGTCGAAAGGGTTAATGCAATTTATGACTTTTCGGTCTCGATAAGCTGGCACTTTTATGAAATCTATTTGGCAAGGACTCTGTTGACACTTGTCAGGCGGACTGACACGCTTGACAGCTTCACACCCTTTCACCTTTTATTTTTTTTTTTGTTGTCCAACCCCCCTTCCCACCGTTCCCCTAAATATTAACCCTCTTCAGCTGGCGCAATATTGTGCATGCTGTCAATAAGTTTTCCTTTTCATAATCGTAACTTGCAGTCTGTGTCTGTCTGTCTGTCTGCTAATCTTGTGAGCAAACATCTAATCTAATCGCTTAGGCAAATATCATCGGGCAACGCCCCCGGCCATTTCCCGCTCGACCACGCCCCCATTTTCAAAAAGACAGCAGGTAAAACAGCAGAGCACCGTTCATCTTGACTCTTATTTTACCTGCTTTTTTGGCCCTGGCCAATTGCATGCTGGCCAATCAATAAATACACTACTAATCAGCTGGAAAATACCCAAAAAAAAAAGGTCAATCGGGGGATGCAGAGAAAAACATATTTTTTTGGGAACAAAAATAGCGTATATAAAAAAATAAGCGAAAATTGAGCGTGGCCCACCCAGGCAATCAGCAGAAATTACAAGGACACATGTGAATGTCACCCCCTCGCAGGACAATCAATTGATAAAAAAGCGTAGCTCCTGGCAGGACAATTGGAAGGGCGGTCGGAATATCCCCGCTTAGGGCGCATTAGTTATTGTTTGGACCCAGGGCAAACCGCAAATTGTTCGAACTGCCCCCGGAATGGACATAAAAAAATATAAAGGACAAGTGGCAAAGCGACAGGGAGTCAATAATTCATATATCTATTTCCTAATTGACAACTGTGTGTGGAATTGGGCGGGGATGTCCTGTAATTGAGGATGATGTCTTCGATTAAAGTCACACAATTGATGGATAAAAAATAAGCAAGGAAAATCTGTGATAAAAAGACTAGCATTAGTTGTGTGATTATAGTTTTCAGATAAATGCTTACGGAAATTAAATTTTATAAATTCTGTGATTCTAGTATTGTAAATCATAAAGCAGTGTATTGTTATAGTTCGTAAAAAAAAAGGGATGCAAAATAAATAAATATGAGACAAAAAGTTTCGCTTGACCGAAAACTTGTGCATTTTCGATTTCAACTTTTTCCCCCGAGTGTCCTGCGGCGAAGGAGTCCCCTTCCATTTTCCTTTCCCTCCTTCACGTCCTCCTCCTTATTCATTTCCCAGCCATTCTGGTCAATCAAGTCCTGTCGATGGAATCGAAAACAAAAGTTTAACTGCCTTCGGGGCGCTTAAGTTCAGCTGGGTGTTCCAGTTCTTGTTCGTTTGGTTTATATGTACGCTCGCTGGTGTTGCTAATTTCTGGGCCAGATAAGCCATGACAACCGCAGATACTATATGCGAGTAAATGTATGGGGCGATGGCAAAAAGCAGCAGCCGAATTAATTGCACAGCTACTGGAATTTATGGTCATGCACACACAATCAATCCACCACCGAAGCCCAAACCGAAACCCAAACCCAAACCCAATTCCAAACCCAAACCAAAACCGAAATCCTGAATCTCCTTCTCACACCCACATATGCAAATACTGGCGCGGGAAAAAGGGGGCGGTTGTTGGGCTATTTTTATTGTTGTTTCCCCGGCATTTGGCAAATAAATTAAAGTGCACGGGGAGATTGGCATTCGCGGCGGGCATATTTGCTTATCTGGCCATATGTAAATAGGGGATTTTCACATTTACACTGGGAACAATTAATGAAGCCGACTCGGCATGGCCATAAAACAGTCGGGCTAAATGAGTGGCCCCTGCCAGATTTATGAACTGCCAACTAAAGGAGTGCCATCTTCTATTTCGCATCCACAGATTCCGACTCCACAGAGAACGATGCCGTGGCCACACAGGACATCCTCACGTGCGGCGCCTGCCAGAAGGCGTTCGCCCTCTCGGACATTGTCAAGTTCATCCAGCACAAGGTGCTGCAGTGCAACAAGGAGAACTACGGCCAGTGCGCCACCCAGAATCCGCAGATGGACCGCGACGCGGAGGAGGGTCGTCCGCTCAGCCTCGTCAACCGCCGCCCCTCGATCTCCGCCCCCATTTCCGGCCGCAAGTCCGCTCCCGCCTCGGCAGCAGCGGCGGTCGCAGCGGCAGCGGCAGCAGCAGCGGCGGCAGCAGCGGCGGCGGCGGCCAGCAGCACGGCCAGCGGCTCCAGGATCCACACACCACCACCGAGTCCGGCGGACCTCCTGGCCGATGGAGCTAGTAGCACGCCCAAGCGTCTAGTAGACGGTGAGTTTTCCTATTTCCCATTTAAGGATATTTCAGCAAGGATAGAAATTAAAAGAATTGGAATACCAATAAATGCAATTACATTAATTGGTATTAAACAAATGAAAATTTAGTAATAATTTTAAAATCATCAACAAGATAAACTTAGATTTCTTGTCATCAGAAATGATTATTAACAATGAACAGCTTAAATAAATATTAATTAGAAAGAAAGAGAGAAAAAAGGAGATAAGCAAGCCTTGGCTTACATTGTCAGCCTTCAAGCAAGCTGAGTTTTATTTAGTCACAAGTGACATTGTTTTCTGTCGGTGTACTAATGCCACCACCCCTCGATCCCCCCGCAGAGAACGACAATACCACGCCCAAGGACAGCGAGACGGGCGCCACCACCCTCGACTCGAATGCCGCCCCCTCCAGTCCGGCGGCCATAGAGCGCCAATCCTCGGGCGACAGCAGCTGCGAGCTGGAGGAGCAGGATCGGCAGGATCGGCAGGCCAAGGTCAAGCAGGAGCCGTTCGAGGAGGAGGGCGCCAATCACCACCACCAGATGGAGGATGACAACGAGGAGGAGGAGGAGGAGGAGGAGCGCTCGCTGGCCAAGCGGCCCAAAATGGAGCTGGTCGATGCCGAGGCCAACACAGTCCACACAGGTGAGTCCTCCCACGAGTCCCATGGGTTGCCCATCCTCCACTACAAAATAGCAGGACGCATTTTTGGGTGGCAAAATTAAAATTCCCTCCAAAGCAGCGTCGAATAAAAAATGTGTTTGATGTGATGATCGGGCCGCGGGCCCTCGGCGATAAGCTGCAGCTGCATTAAATCCAAAAAAAACCCTAAGAAAAAACGTACACAACGCAATAATGATACGGGGAAAAAAGCGCGGACACTGCGGGCTGTGGACTACATAATACGGACCATGGACCATGGACCACGAACTGCGGACTGCGGACTGTGGACTTCAAAGCGCAGCTCTCAATGCTGATAAACTGCAGCAGGACGAAAAAGGACACTCGGACAGCGAGCGCGACAATCGAAACCCCGGCTCTCTGGCCTTTGACTTTGACATTTCAATGCAAATGATGATGAAAAGCCAAAGACAGCAATACAAAAACAAAAACAAAGAGCAGAAAAGGCAGAAAAAGCAGTGGCAGCAGGACTATGGCAACGGTTAGGGGTAACCAACAGCCAGGCAGGACAATAAAGCCGAAGCTCAGAAGCTCAGAAGCTGCCCTCGAGGGTAATTTGAATGCCTCAAAAACAGCTAAGGAATGCCAAAGGGGGTGAAAGGCCACTTGACTGGACAAAGGACATCGCACTGGACTTGACACACGCACAAAAGCTGGCCAAAAACAAGGGATATTTCAAAAATATAAAAATACAAAAAATATGAGAACAAAATTCCTCGCAACTTGAACCCGCTGAAAGAGGTGCCCGTTGTTTTCCAGAGAGGTCAGAAGCATAGGTAGAAAAAATCAAAAAATAAAAAAATAACACATCGCGAAGGTCGCGTGTCAGCCAAAAAGCGATTGACTTACAACATAAAATTGGCCTTAAAAATGGTATATCGGGATGCCGAGATACAGATACAGAATTTCAAGGGGAGAAACCAGCTACACATACGCCATTTAACCCTTGAACTTTTGCGCTTTTGACACGAACAGCGAACAACAAAAGTCACTGACAATACGGCAAAAAGTTGTTTGACTCTGACAATGCCAACTGACAAGACGCAGATACACAGATGCACAGATACACGACCAGAGCTACAGATACATCCGCAGATACAGATACAGATACAGCTACAGATACATCGCACAGAGCTGCGTTAATTACGCATTGTTCTGCCTTTTTCCCTATTTTTTTTCCCCCCGTTCGACTCTGTACTTTACTTCAGTGGCTGTCCAACCTAACTCCTTCCTTTTGGGCCATTGTTGGCCATTTGGTAATTATAAATACGCCATGGCAACCAGTGCCCGTGCTCGCTGAATAAAAGAAAGCCAACTGTCAACAAAATGGATATTTGTTGCAAAAATGTAAATGCAACATGTCCTTGCCACAGGACGACTTTTCACCTGTCAGCCCAGCCGTGTTAATTATCAATTTCGAGGCTCAGCATGTCGCGACCGCAGCGACAATGAAACCCCATCAAGAGGGTTAAGGGTTAAGGGTCACGTGGGCGTTGGGCGGTATGGGGTTAAGGCTCAGACCGCAATTATTGACTCATGCTGGCACTAAGCCAAAAAAAAAAAAGGAAAAACAAAATGTAAAGCCGAGTGTAAAAAACTCCCCACTCGAAGCGGTCGAATGGTCGAAATCAATGGCTAATGCCTTGGGTTCATGCAATTCCACGTCCTGCGAGCAGGATTAGATGTCCTGCGCCCGGTGTCCTTTGTGCGGAAAATGCCGGAAAAGGATACGGACTGGCTTAGGATGCTGACAGTTGGCGAAGCTGCAACAATTATCCCATTACGCGCGCAACCCTTTTATTCTGTTTCGCCACCCGCTGGCATCGCTCATACGCACTGTGAGACGACTGCACTTCCTGGCGGTCAATTTGCCATTTCCGGTGCCAGCACATCCGCTCCTTGCGTTCAAGGAGTGCAGAGAGAAAAATAAATATAAATACTATTAGGACAGATTGCTTGATTTAACAATTAGAAATGATTTTTCATATATGTAAATAAAAATAAATGTAAATAAGGTATCCTTTTACAAAACTGAAACACTAAAAACAAAAACCCAGCTTAAGCCTCTTTTTTTTGATCTGAAAAATAAATAATATTTAAATGAGTTTTTTTTGCATTGAAACAGCAGCTGATAGAAAGAAAAATTTTGTATATGACTTGAATATGTTTTTATTATAAATATTCCTCAGCCTAATAGGTATTTTCCTAATACACAAAAAATGTATTAATGAGACCTTTTCCTATTTTTTTGTTTAACTGAAGAGTAAATAATATTTAAATTTATTTGCCGTGTCGGATCTTCCCGCATTCGACAGCTGACAGAATCAGAACGTGCCAAACCCGCGCCTTTTGTGTTTTACCCGTTCCTCTGCCCATTTTTTTTATCTAAATAATTATTTTGAAGCGCGTGCGCATCGCGAGCTGCGATCAAGGATCAGACAAATAATGCCTGATGTTTTTCGACAACTTTTACCTCTTTTTTTATGTACTTTGAGGATCGGGCCCAACCCTTTCCGCCAGTATTCAAGGGTTGCTCCTTGTGTTTTCCACGGGGATGAGGCATTGCGAACGTATTATCTGTCAGATTCATTTGCATTTCCTGTGGCATGCGGGCCGGCGATCCCTGATCTCAGGATCCTGGATCCTGGGCTCTGAAGGCTGATCCTGAACCCCGCTGCCAAAGGGTCGCGACGAAATCATGTTAAACACGACTCACCTTTGACAGCGCCAGGAAGCTGTTTCATTTTCAGTTTCCCCTGCACAAGTTTAATGTGGATTCCCATAAAATGTATAGTAATACAAAAAAAAAAAAAAAAGGAAAAGTGTGGAGAATGCGTGTCCTGTCTCGTGCCTTTCCATTTCCATTCTTTTTTATGGATAATTTTGGGAAATTTTCATTTCGTGCGTTTTAAAGGCGTCATTTAAATGCAGGGAGCGTCCTCATCTCGGGGGTAGTTCACTGCGTTCCCCATAGTTTCCATTTCGATGGCATTAACACCTTGTTGTCCTCGGTGGCGACATGTGGCCAGCCTGCGTCGTCTTCGCCTTTTTCGCCTTGGCTTTCAATTTTTATTTATTACAAATTTTCGTTTTAGTGGCGGCGCAAAAAAAAAAAATGAAAAAAAGAAAAACGAACACGAAAACGAAAAGTGTCTTCTTTGCACATTTTTCATAAATTTTCCAATTTTACATCTGTTGCGCGGGGCGGCGGCACATGTGTCGCAGGACACGGGATGCAGGACATTCGGGTGGGTGGTTTTTAGGGCTGCCATTTCCGCCATGGCAAATTAACAAATGTCGCGACAAAACCGCAACAAACTAAAGGACACACATGTGCCTGTGTGTGTGTGTGTGTGCTTTAGCATAGGGCAATATCCTTCGCAATATTGGCAATCTCCGTCCGGGGTTTCATGCGTGTCCTGGCGCATTTTGGCATGCCAACCGCGCTGCAAAATCAATAAATAAATAAATACTGGCTAGGATCCGCGGTTCTCCCTTCCTCCGCAAAATGCTCATTAATAATTAATAACGAAATTGCCAGGCAACCTGAATTTACACGGGCAAAAGTCTAGCTAAGCTGGTAATGCAATTTATAGCTTTAAGAGCTGCACTGGAAAATTTGGAAATTTAATAGTTAACACATTGGGAATTGTGGGGATCTAAAATATAGCTTTTGAAACAATTAGCTCTTTTAATAACTTGTCTTATTGAACTATTTAATTTGCGCTTTTGTAGAACAATATGTGAATATCAAAACAATTATTTTATATGGCCAATAATGCTTGACTGGAATCCCTTGACTTGCCCTTATACTGATACCCTCCTCCAATCATTATGACCTAAACCTTGACCTAACCTTGTACTCAACGTGAATCCTCCTCTTCTATTTGCAGAGCCCAGCAACTACACGTGCTCCACGTGCAAAACCCGCTACACCTCCGCCTGGCGCCTCATCCAGCACGTGCAGCACTCGCACGGCGTGAAGATCTACGTGGAGAGTCCCGGGGGAGTGGGAGGCGCCACCCTGACGGTGGCCACGCCCGCCGCCCTCAACAACAGTGCTCTGGCCCTGGCCGCCGCCGCCGCCGCAGCATCCGCTTCCGGTTTGGCGAGTCCGCAGCCAGCGGTCAGCCCGAATCCTGCCGCCAAGCGCAGCAGTCCGGTGGCCATCCTCTCCACCTCGGTCAGCTCCAGTTGCTCCAACTCGCTGGTGAACACCAGCGGTGGCAGCATCAGCAACACCAGCAGCATTGGCTCGCCGCAGCAGCAACAGCAGCAGCAACAGTTGCAGCTGCAGCAGCAGCAGCAGCAGCAGCAGGCACAGCAGCAACAGCAGCGTGTGCATCAGCAACAGCGGGAGAATCTGGCCTCCGCCATGGCCGCCGGTATGCGGCACCATCCGCTGCTGCCGCCGCCAGAGGCGATGCATGCCAATCCCTTCCAGCTGCTGCGCATGCCACTGCCGCCGGCGCTTGCCCAGGCCGGAAACGTAGTTCCTACGGTGGCGCCGCTCTTCGGACGCCCCTCGCCCGCCGACCACTACCGCATGGAGCAGCTGGTCAGCGAGCAGTTTCGCCACCACGGCTTCAACCTGGCCGCCGCCGCCGCCGCAGCCCAGGCGCAGTTCAATGCGAACGGCCAGGTGGTGGGTGCCGGGGGATCGGGTGAGCCGCGTCCGCCCTCCTCCAGCAGCAGTGGCAGCCAGCGGGGCTCGGTGCCCCCGGCCTCCCTGCCGCCACCATCCCTGAGCTCCCAGCAGCAGCAGCAACAACAGCAACAGCAGCAGCAGCAGCAGCAACAGCAGCAGCAGTCCGTGCAACAGCAGCAATCCGCACAGCAGCAACAGCAGCAGCAACAGCAGTCCGTGCAGCAGGCGCAGCAGCAGCAGCAGATCACGCCCGGTCTGGTGGGAGGAGCAGGTGGCTCCCTGAAACTGGAACCGCAGCAGATGGATTTTTACTCGCAGCGATTGCGTCAGCTTGCGGGCACAACAAGCCCTGGAGCTGGCAGCACTGTTAACTCGAGCTCGCCGAGTCCTCGACAGAAGCAATCGCCGCACTTCGCGAGCCCCTCGCCCTCGCAGCAGCAGCAACATCAGCAGCAGCAGCAGCAGCAGCAACAACAGCAACTGACGGCCATCCCGCGACCCCATTCCCTGACTCCGCCCGAGAAACTGGGAGAGGGTGGCTCCGAGAATGGCAGCCTGGGCCTGATCCTGGCCAGCACTCCGCGCTCCGCCAGCACGCCGCCCTCGAAAACGGGCGACGTGTCGCTGCAGGAGGCCAGCAACAACTGCTACGCGTGCAGCTACTGCGACAAGAAGTTCCGCTTCGAGAACAACCTGATCATCCACCAAAGGACCCACACCGGCGAGAAGCCGTACAAGTGCACCGCCTGCGACTTCGAGTGCTCGCACATCCAGAAGCTGATGAAGCACATGCGGGTGCACCGCAGTCCGGCGGACGAGCAGGACAACCAGGACAACCAGGACGACGGCAGCAATGCCGACTCGCTGGAGACGAACGAGGCCGACAACGACGAGGACCCCAATCCCGATGAGTCGGAGGAGGAGTTGGGCGACGGTGACAACGATCCGGACGGCGATGGCGACCTGGATGGCGAGGATGAGGACGAGGACGAGCTGGAGGAGTGCGAGGACATGGACTACAAGGCGGAGGACCTCAGTGTGAGCAATCGCATCGACGGCAAGAGCCAGAGTCCCAAGACGACCAGTTCGGGGGCCACCTCGCTGGTGGGCGAGCTGATGGACAAGTTCGGCCTCTCCAACATCGCCCAGTACAGTGAGGCCTACAAGCAGGCGCTGCAGGAGTCGGGCCGCAAGGAGGCGGCAGCCGCAGCAGCAGCAGCCGCCGCCGCCGCAGCGGACAACAACAATCGCGGTGGAGCGGGTGCCCCACTGAGTGACAAGCTGAACGGCCTGCCCGTGGCTGCACTGCGTCTGCGAGATGAGTTTGCCAAGAATTGCAACATGTTCCAGCCGCAGCCGCAGGACGGCGGCGCCCCCTCGCAGGTGCCCCTCTTCAATCCCTTCCCCAATCCCTTCGAGCTGAGCAAGCGGATGAAGATGGACGGCGGCGACTGGTGGGGCATGTCCCAGGCCCTCCACCGCAACGAGGCCCTCTTTGAGAACCTCAAGCTGAAGCCACTGGGCCTGGGCGGGGCCAACTCGCTGATCCAGGGGCCGCTGCTGAAGAAGGAGAGCCGTCAGCGCAACGACACCTGCGAATTCTGCGGCAAGGTGTTCAAGAACTGCTCCAACCTGACCGTGCACCGGCGCAGCCACACCGGCGAGAAGCCGTACAAGTGCGAGCTCTGCTCCTACGCCTGCGCCCAGAGCTCCAAGCTGACGCGGCACATGAAGACCCACGGGCGGACCGGCAAGGATGTGTACCGCTGCCGCTTCTGCGACATGCCCTTCAGCGTGCCCTCGACGCTGGAGAAGCACATGCGCAAGTGCGTCGTCAATCAGGGCAAGGCGGCGGCCGCGGCGAACGCGGTGGCCGCTGCCCAGGCTGCCCAAGCCGCCGCCCAGCACATCCAGGCGGCCGCCCAGCAGGCCCAGGCGGTCCAGGCCCAGGCGGTGCAGGCCCAGGCGGCCCAGCAGCAGCAGCAGCAGCAGCTGTCGCCCATGGGCGTGGTCGGCTACCCGCCCCAGTTCGTCGGTGGCCACAATCTCTCACTGCCGGGCAGCGTGAGTGGTGACAATGACTCCAATGCCTCCTCCAGTCTGACCGGCGTCCATCCCATTTCCCTGAAGGAGGAGGCATGACTTTTCAGTGGCTTCCCAGTGCCGCTGGCGCCACCACCGCCCCTGCAGCAGCAGCAGCAGCAACAGCAGTCGCAGTCGCAGCAGCAGCAGCAGAACAGTCGCAGTCGCATCATGTCGCGCATCTTCTAAAGATACAACCCGTACCCTCAACCCACCCAACACCCCCCCCCCCTGTAAATATGACTTTTTGAAAAAAGCCCCCTCCAGCTCCTTCCAAGCGACGAAAAAAAAACGACCAGAGGCATTTAATACCAAAGCAATAACCGTTATGTAATATAATTTTAAAGATTCGAGCCTTTTTTTTTGAAACTGAAAACACACACACACACAACTTATTTTTTTCCAACATTTTTTTTCGTGCTTGTAATTTATATATATATATATATATAAATATAGAATATAAATATACGTAAATGTAATAATATAATCGCTTAGAGAGTAATTGTGTGGACACACATTTTCCAGTGTATTTCCTAGGTCTAAGTAAACCAAAAACAAAGGATTTGTATATTATGAAAAAAGAAACCTACTACAACTAAACGTAAAGAAAAAAAAAATATGAAAAAAAAATTCTGCTCCCAGTGAGCCACAAAAATAAGCAAAATTATACTCTAAACTTAAACGCATAACTATATGAATATTATCGATATGGGCGAGTGAATGAATATTTTTTTCATCGATGTACATTTTTTAGTAAATCTAGATCCCTAGCACTAAAGACGAACACTTGTAAAAATCCTAACTCTAATTATAATTATCGTATATGTATTCGTTTCATTCGATTTCCCCTTGATTTATTTCCTCTCCTTCTCTATTTTTTTTGCCTAGACATAATTCTATTATTAAATGTAATTTAAATGAAAGAAAAACGAAAAATAATCAAATTTTTTTACATACATAAATAAATATAAATGTAAAACACAAATTTTTTTTAAACAATTTTAGTCTAAGCTGAAAAGGAAAATCATGCATAAAAATTGAGGCAGAAGGCAAATTGAGAAAAGACGAAGATGCAAATTTGTACGTAAAACTTCAAGTGAAATATAAGAAAGCAATTAACGAGAAAATACCGAAACAACAACAACAAACAAACAAAACAACAAAAACTAGATTTAGAAGACTGAAGAACTGAGAACGAAATTTGTTTTCTTGCTATTACAAAATAAAAGACAGAAGTAAAACGACGAAAGACGAAAGAGAGCTGGAAAACGGACAATGAATAGGACGAAAAGGAAGAAAGGACACGAGAGAGTGCATTTTTTTATAAATTGTTTTTTTGCTGTTGATTTTCGTTATTTGATTGAAACTAAAACAAAAGATTGAGATCCAAATTTTGATTAATATTTAATTGTTTGTTTTTGTAGTAAAAATACCTTTTTGTGAGCAAAATTCAAAGGCGCAACATTAGTTTAAACCTTGTTTTGTTTCGAGTCCCCTAAAATCCCACCTGGAAATCCCCCTACTAAAGCAGTTGATTCACAAATTGCCTTAATACGGGCGATTTCCTCCGTTTTTATCGACGAAGTTTACCGTGCATAATTTATGGAATTCGACATGTACTAAATTTAAGAATGAGGTTTTAATGCATTGTGTTTCACATATATAGAACATATATATAAAAGCAAAAACTGAATAAACAAAAATCCATGAAAATTATTAAAAAAAAACCCACACGAGTTATGTTTTATTTGGCAAATATTTTCGGTTACCAATTTACAAAGTTTATTTCTTCCACAAAAAGCAGAGAGCAGAAGCGAACGGAAACCGAAACCGAAACGAAACGAAGCAAACTAAAACTATCATTAAATCTTAGAAAATTAATTGTAGCTATAAAAACAAAAGAAAACTTTATACTAAAACAAATAAACCAGGACATTGTCTCATTTGGCCGAGAGCAATAGCAAGGAAAGGCGGATTAAGAAAGAAAACAAAAACAAAACGATAAGAAACCAAAAATATTTTTCAAATGTGTGTAATTTTTTGAAAGTAACAATAACGAAAATACGAATGGAAAACAAAAAAAACCAACAAATTTAAAAATTAATAATTAAAAGATAGTTGTCTGTGTTACGAAAATACAAAAAATATAAAAATACAATTGAAAAACTGTAAGAGAGCGAGAGCGACTTTTATTTGCCATAAAGGATTTTTATAGCAAGACGGAACCTACGACATCACGCACCCTAAAAGTAGGCAACCATAAACAATCGGAAACGATCGTGCAGTGCAAAAGTGTTGCGTGCATTTAAGGGCTGGTGAAGGCAGCCACCAGGTGGCGCTCCTCACATCCGCTTGCCGTATAGGAACGGAAAGGGGGAGAAAAGAGGGAGGAAAATGAAAGGAAAGTGAGAACAAACGAGAGAGCGACCCCCATTGGCCGTCCCCCGGCCCCCCGTGACCACTCGACCAGCCAGTGACCAATCCAAGCGCCACTGGCCGCCCCAATTGTCATGTGCGGAAACTTCAATTGGCATCTGGCAACTGGAAAGCGAAGCGAACCTCACACATGCGACGCCGGCAGCGCAGTCGCCGTCGACTGCGGCAGCGACCCCTGAACCACCCAACACTCACCACCCACCAACGCCCACTGGCCAGTTCGAACCTGCTCGCAGTCGAACATGCTCGACGCTTCCAACTCTCCGGTGGTTGTAAACGGACATCGAATGGCTTGCGGGGAAATCCTTGCGGGACGCAGACTTTTCCGCCAGTAACCGGAAAAGCTATATATGCATATTTCTACCTGATAACAGTCAAGAATTATCCTTTGTTACTCCTTTTCTGATAATATATTAGGTTCTTAAATGAGTGAAACTAGTTATTAAAGAAACGGATGTTCTCAAAAATGATATAAATGTTAATGATTCTTTTCCAACAGTTACAGAAACATTAGTTTGTATTCATTCACAAACAAGAACAATTTATTTTATAATAACAAACATGCGTTTGTACTTGTAGGTATTATATTATTTAATTCGACATTTATTTGTTATTGACATTTGGAGTTCTTGTCTCTTATTATCATAACTGGTTAAATATAAATATTTAATTACAAAAGGTGACAGTAGAAAAGTGCTGTTAACTTGTTTCATTTTTCCAGCTTTCATTTCCTGTAAGTTATGTTGTATATACCTAGTTGTTTTTGTTTTTTGCATATGTTTTATTAGCATAAGCTAGAACACGTCTTATACCAATTTTATCAACCTTTACTTATCCAAAACTAAAGAAATTAGTGTACATTTAATGTTTCAATCGATTTATATTTATTTTTAATGCAGTTATAACTCGTTGACGGATTTTCTGTTGTACTAGATAATATATGTACTTATATTAGTCCAATTAGTTTATTATAACTGAGTTAATTTACTGGTTTAGAAATTTTATTAGACTTTTTTTTATATAATCAACTAGGAGTTGCCATGATACGCTAAGTGTAGAAACTATATAAGACTTTTCCTTATTTGGTGAACTAATAATTCTTATATTTCGCCTTAATACATATCCAGAGAATCTATATTTCCCAGACCGGACCACATGTATTCACTCTATATGCCTAATAGTTTCCATCGGACTGCTTTTTGCCGGATAAGTGGCGTGCCGCGGTTGAAGGTGGGCAATTAATAACAGGGCCCTGCCGAATATGTGGACCCCACTTGGTGCGCATTATTCATTCTCCATTTGCATGGGGTCCTTTGGTCCTTGGTTTTGGTCCACCCCAGCCCCTCTTCTCCGCCCCCCCCCTGTCCCTCCCCTAACCCCGCAAACTCAAAGCGGATACAAGGACTGCGATTCGGTCTGTGGCTTTACTTTCTGAAGGCGTGGATAGGGGAGGGGGAATGGGGGATGGGGGAAGGACATGGGGAATATAAAGCTGGAAGGATGTGTAGGCGACATTTGTTCGTGCAGCGACTAATTCAAGTATGTGTGTATTATTCACATGGCGGGTAGCTCTCTCTATAAGGGTGAAACTTTTACAGTTAGCTGGCAGAGATTCTTTTCTGATGATAAATTAATTTATTATGTTCGAATTGAAGCACTCGCCTTGCGAGCTACCAATGTGAGCGGATGTAGCGTGTATCTGTGTCTGTGACCGGAGTCTGCCAGGATATGCCAACATATATATACGGGCACGGGTACGAGTACTAGTGTGTATGTGTGTGTGTGTGCATTTCAACCCCATCGAGTGTGCACAATTACAAAAACAACTACAGGAATAATGAACAACACCATCTGACCACTTGAATAATTTCAAAGTGGCGGGCGGAAGGGGCTCCTTTTGCCGGGTGATGTTTTAATTGAAACCCTGGCCCGGGAATGGCTGCCACAGCCCGCAGTCCACAGCCCACAGCCCAGAGCCCGAAAACCGCCCGAAACCACCCAAAACCACCCACAACCACCCAGCGAAAGGACTCTGCCCAGCGTTGAGCAAACATGGCGTTGTTCACGGGGCACTACGCAGATCTTCCGAGATCCCCGGGCCCCAGACCCATATATAAAGTACAACTTTTACACTTCCTTACGCTTTGTTTTTTATCATTTAGACGATTCTCCTTTCTTTTTTATTTACTTTTTTTTTTTCGTTGGCAAAACAATAAAAAGGCTCCGTCTCTGTTTCTGGCTTCCCAATGCCAATGGAATGATACCACAAACTTCTCGCACAGACGCGATTCGCGGGGGAGGGGTGTTTCGGTCAGGGCGGGGGGCGGACGGGCAAAATGAGTGGGTGTCTCACCCGGAAAGCAAAGAAAGTCAAAGAACAAATGTCTATGGCTCCAAAGTCAGAGCACATTCATATTCGCCGGCTGCCCAAAAAGCGACTGGTAAGCGGGATTATACCCTGTAAAAACTATAATCAAAGGGAAATCTCTTATATATATAATTTATATATATGTTTAACATGCTAATAAGAAATTGGAACCTGCAATAATTAAGGATGCATTTAAATAATTCTATTAATAATTTAACTTTCACCAAAACCAACACAGAATATAATTTTAAACTTGGCCAAAATAACGCACAGACCTCAGCACAGACTTTTTTTTCTTAATCCCCATCATTTTTCAAACAATTTACTTTTTGGCCGACTTTACACATTGTTTATATACGAAATCTAACCTAAAATTACAGTTTTTAGCTGTGAATGCCACTTGATTGGAAATGTTATAACG